AAGCTCCCCTGGCATCAGAAAGGGACAAGCTAAACACCATAAGAAGTATATGTTAGGGCTGGAGAGATAGCATAGTGGGTAGGGCGTTTGCCTTGCACACGGTCGACCTGGGTTCGATTCCCAGCATCCCATAAGGGCCCCTGAGAACTGCCAGAAGTAACTCATGAGTGCAAAGCCAGGAGTAACTCCTGTACATCACCAGGTGTGACCCAAAAAGCAAAATAAAATAAAATAAAATAAAATAAAGAAGTATATGTTAAAAGCACAATCATAGAACAAACTCTGTCATAACCCAAAAAGAAGTAACTGATCAGGAATAGTATGGAATATATAGCAAGATGTCTCCAGGAAGAGCCACTCTTTAAGCTTAATGTATCTCTTACTGTGTTCATACAAAATGACTAGAAATACTAGTAAAAATTCTTTTAAAGTCCTCCGTCCCTCTTGGAGAACCTGGCAAGCTACCGAGAGTATCTGCCCTCATGGCAGAGCCCGGCAAGAGCCCCGTGGCATATTCCATATGCCAAAAACAGTAACAAGTCCCAGGATAGAGATGTTACTGGTGCCCACTTGAGCAAATCGATGAACAGTGGGAGGACAGTGTTACAGTGCTACTTTTATTTTTTATTATCGCTCTGGTCCCTACAGTGCTACTTTTAAAGCATAAATTTACTATGCTCATTTAAATGGATTACTACCTAAGGAAAGGAGAAGTAATACACCCTAGATGAGACTCTTGAGTGCATCTCCTAGTAATCTAGAGTGCTGAGCCCTCAGGTGGGATTTTGTCCTTGAGTTAATATCCTAGAACTTCCCTTGAAGGAGGGGCTTTACATCTGTGTATTGTTATGATAATGTCCAACCCCACCTATGTGTACCCCCACCCTTCATGATTTCTGTATAATGAAGCTGTAAGGAAGGAGAAGGGAGAAATAAGTATGCTGTAAGAGAGAAGTAGGAAAAACAAAGCTGTAAGGATGAGGATGAGAATGAAATAAACGGTCACTGAAACCAGCCTGTGGCCCTGTTCCTCTGTTCCCAGTTCCCTGGTCCTTCGTTAGTCTGGTGCTGTTTGGCAGGCCTGCGGGGGCGGTTCTTGACCACCGAATACATGTGTCACATGTCCCACACTTTTTGAACCCACACTAAAGGACAAATAAGGAAAATATTTACCATGTATATGTCAATATTATCAATGTATATATATATATATATATTTGTAGGATAATGGAAATTAGAGTATATATATATTGCCATTTCAAATTGACAAATTAAGATACTGCTTGAGTCAGAGAGAGATAGTACAGGAGGTAGGGTGCTTGCCCCACATAGGGACTGACCCAGTTCAATCGCCAGCACTCCATATGGTCCCCCAAACCCTCCCAGAAGTGATCCCTGAGCACAGAGTCAGGAGTAAGTCCTGAGCACCACCAGGTATGGTACAAAAAATAGGTACTATTCAATGCTAATGAGGCAAAGTACAGAGTATTCTCATGGGGTTAATTTATGGAAAACAGTATAGTAATAAAGCAATAAGCAATTTAAGACTTTTAATAATCTTAAAAATAATTAATTCCCTTTGAAGGGCTTGGGGACAGCTCAGGGGCTAAAGGCTTCTTGCAAGCATGGCTCCCCATGCTCACGTGTGCCAAGCCAGTCCCAGCCCTGCTGCCTGGAACCCCAGTTCCGGGAGAGCCTGCAGGCTCCAGCACACAGCCAGGTCTGTGTGAGGGCCACATCTAAAGCATGCGACCCCAATGAGCCTGTATTGAGCCCAGTGACCCGCAGAAGGCACTACAAACAGGAGGAGGTGTGATCACCACAGCTAGATGAGTGTGATTCCCTTGAACACATGTGCAAGCACTACAGCTTAAAGAAGGATCCAAAGGGCTGGGGAGAGAGCTCAAGCATGGGGGTGGCCAGGGTTCAATTCCTGGTAGCACCTGGTCCCCTCAGCACTGCTGGGACTGCTCCGTGGACATGATCAGGCAGGATCCAAAAGTAAAAGTCTGCAAGCGCCATCAGGCAGCTCGGTCAAGTGTGTGAACACCATGACCAGCATGTGTGATCTCTGAGCATCACAACAACAAAGGGAACCTAATAATTTTACTTGTAGGATTCTATCCCAAGGAATTAAGACATGGACAAATTTTAATGAATAAGCATTAAGTGCTATAAGCACGGCTGAAGAGATAGTACAGGAGGCAAGACACTTGTGTTGCACCCAGTCATGTGGCAGCAACCCTGGTTCAATACCAGTACCCTAAATGGCCTGCTGGGTACCACCAGGGGTCACTCCTGACTAGGCACAGAGCCAGGAAGAGCCCTTGAGCACTGTTGAGTATGTCCCCCAAATGAAAATATCACTGTCACTGACACTGTCCTCCCATTGTTCATTGATTTGCTCAAGCGGGCCCAGTAACATTGTGAGACTTGTTGTTACTGTGTTTTGCATATCAAATACATCACGGGTAGCTTGCCAGGCTTTGCCATGAGGGTGAGATACTCTTGGTAGCTTGCTGGGCTCTCCAAGAAGGGCAGAGGAATCGAACTTGGGTTGGCCTGGTCAGTCACGTGGAAGGCAAACGCCCTACCCGCTGTGCTCCAGCCCAAATGAAATTATATAAATTGAAAATAATAGTCGGTACTAATATAATATATACTGTCAATGACTGTATCATTGTCATCCCGTTGTTCATCAATTTACTCGAGTTGGCGCCAGCAACATCTCCATTCGTCCTAGCCCTGAGATTTTAGCAGCCTCTCTTGCTTGTCTTTCCCAATGCTGCTGTATTGGAGGCTCTTTAAGGGTCAGGGGAATGAGACCCGTCATTGTTACTGTTTTTGGCATATTGAGTACAGCACAGGTAGCTTGCCAGGCTCTGCTGTGCAGACGAGATACTCTCAGTAGCTTGTCGGGCTCTCCAAAAGGCATATAAATATATATTTCCGTCTATGATTTTTTGCCTGTCTGAACCCCATCAAATATGGTGTGGTGATTGTGGAAAATGGGTAGAAGTGTCCTATGATGTATCTCATTGTCAATAATCAGGAAGAAAATAAAACTCGGTTTACTTGATGTTACTAAAACTAGTTCTTGTGTGTATGGTATTGGGAGTTGTACCTAGTGCCTCTCACTAAATACACAATCTAGCACTGAGCCACAGCCCTGGCCCCTAAATCACATAATTACATTGATGGTGGGAATGTTTGATCACACCTGGCAGTACTCAAGGGATACTCCTGGCTTTGTGCTCAAGGGTCATTCCTAGCAGTGCTTTGGGAATCATATGCAGTGTCAGGGACCAAATCAGGGTTGACTGCATGCAAGACAAATGCCTTAACTCATATGCCATTTCTCCAGGCCTCAAATCACTTATTTTTTTTTAAACAAAGGTTGTATCATAAGGTGAAATAATTCCAGCATCATATAAGGTGAAGAGGATGGTGGAGGTTAAATTATGTCTTCTGGAAACAGAACTAGCCATAGAAATTGTCACTGGGGAATGAAACCAGGTAAAAAGGGATCTTTGCATTTTGCTAGCATCTTTTTCAATGTGTTATAATAATGGTAGTGTCTATCCCAATAATTTGCTTACTGTGGGCCAATCATCATTCTTATTTGTGCTTATTTTCTCACTTAATCATCACAACCACCTGACAGGGTGAGCATTGCTACTAGCATCCCTTTTTACAGATAAGAAAACTGAGACACCCAGAGGCCAAGCAAGGATTCCATAGTAGATCAAAAGAATCAAAGTGAGGAATTTTGATTCCAGTGTCTGGCTCTCTTATTAATTGTACTGTCTCTGGCTCTATATCTGTAATAAGAAACTGATCCCACCTTTGCTCTGGTGGTTCCCTCAGCTGAAAAAGCTTTTCTCTCATAGCAAAATAACCCACAACCTTAGATGTCTTCAAGTCCTTGCTCAGTTGTGACCTTGGAAATGAGTCTAACCCTGACCACAGGCTTCTAAATTGCACCCTGTCCCATCCTGTTTCACCTTGTTTGATTTCCGACATGTTATCTAGCTTTGTTTTTCCCCTCTCTGCCAGTGATAGGACCCAGGGGTTCACATATGCAAGGCAAGTGTTTGACCACTGGGTCACATTCCCAACTCCACTAATTTTACATTTCATACAATTTTTAGATTCACCAAGTTATTCCTGTTGTTATTGTTTTGTGGTCACATCTGGCAAGGCCTACTCAAGGTTCTGTGCCCAAGGATCACTCCTGGAAGGACTCAGGGACCCGTATGTTATGCCAGGGATCAAGCTCAGGTCAACTAGGGGCCAGGCAATCTCTTCCCCTAGATTATCTCTCCAGTCCCTCACCATGCCACTTCTGTTCTGTGGGGGACAACATATGAGAGCTACTAGGTCAGGATCCTTTCCTTTTAATTGTTTTGCCAATTAATGTATCTCGGGAAGAAAACTCCCTACCACAATCTAGGTACTAGGTACTCAACAAATATTTGTGAGTAAAAAAAACCCTTCTGCCCACTTCCTTTTGGTTCTTGGGCCACACCTTCTGCTCCAGGCTAGTTGTAGCTCTCTGGATCCAGGGGTTCTCCCCCAGGTTCTCTGGAGACCATGAAGTGCTGGGGATTAAATTTATAACCTGGACCCAACCCTCTGAGCTCTCTCTCTCCAGCAATTAAACCTTAAGCGTGACACGGTTCCCATCCTGCTTCCCCTTCAAGCATATACATGTACATGGGTTGGGAGGAGAGGAAAATATTTTAAAATATTAATGCTAATTTCAGGTGATTTCCCCCCATTTGCTTTCTTAGATGATCCACATTCCCCATGTTTTTCAAAAAATGATCATTTTATCATAAGAAATTTGCTTCTTAAATATGTCTCTTCTAAGCCTCTAATTAATACATTGCCATGCACACCGAATTGTCTTTACTGCAAATCGCTTGCAGTCCTTTTTTCTTACAGGAAACGCAACCCGCATTTGGAAAGGTGTGTGCGGATGGCCTTTAAATAAATGACTGCTTTAAAAAATAATCGCCCGGTATTTCATGGTGGTTCAATATTTCTTACAGAAATAAAAATCCTCTGCTGCAGCCGACCGCGACCGCGGCATCCCTGGGGAACACACCCACCTAGCAACCGGGAGCGGAGCTGGAGCGTGGCGCAGCGCCTTTAATTCCCATTCCCGGGCTGGTGCGGGGGGAGCGCTATGGAGAATTTCCGCTCCCCCACCCCGTCCGCGGCGCTGGTGGCATCTGTCACCTGTAAGGCGAGCACCGCGTGCGGGGGATGGAGCCCGGCGCCCATTGGATAGAGGAGAACGGCAGAAACCTACCCCGGAGCCTGGGGGCCCGGCGGTGGCCGCGCGCCGCGGCCCCCGGCGCCTTTCTCGCCCAGACGCTCGGGCGGCGCGGGGTGATCGAGGTCCAGCCTGGGGGCCACGCCCGCTGCTGCCGGGTGCGAGCGATCAGGTTAGTCTGGGCGGAAGGCGGGCGTGCCACCTGTCCCGGCGGCCGAGCCATGGCGCTGGCCGCCGCCGCCGCTGCTGCGGCCGCCGGGGTGAGCCAGGCGGCGGTGCTGGGCTTCCTGCTGGAGCACGGGGGCCAGGTGCGCAGCTCCGAGCTTAAGAGCCGCTTCAAGCCGCTGCTGGAGGCCGGCGACCCGCGCGGTCGCGCCGCCCGCAAGGACCGCTTCAAGCAGTTCGTCAATGCCGTGGCGGTGGTGCAGGAGCTCGACGGCGTCAAGTTCGTGGTGCTGAAGAAGAAGTTGTGGCCCTGGGAGGGCGCGGGGCCCCAGCCTCAGCCCCCGGGCGACCCCAGCTGCCTGGAGGAACCCACCTCGCCGTCGAAGGTTACCTCCGACCCCCCTGGAGCCAACGCTGCCGGGGAGGCTCCAGCCTTGGCCTCGCCGCCGCGGTCTGGGCCTGGGGGTCTCGCCTCGCCCACAGAGCCAATGGACACCCCCGGGCCCGCTGCCTCCCAGCGTGACCAGCCAACTGCAGAGCTGTCGGGGCCGGCGCTGCAGTCTGGGGGACCCTCGCACCTAGCCCAGCCGTGCCCCGGAGAGTCTGCGGACGCGGCCCCACCGTCTCGGCGGGCAGCGTCGGAGGCGACCTCGTCTGACGTGAACCCGCAGGCCCCAGAACCCGGAGCTGGGACCTCCAGGAAGCCGCCCCCCGCGCCCGCCCGCGCGCCGCCGCCCCCGAAACCCTGCATGCTGCCGGTGCGCTGCGTGCCCGGCCCCGCGACAACGCGCATCCGGGCCGAGGAGCAGGGCCTGCGCCGGCAGATGTCGGAGGAGCCGAGCCCGCGCGCCTCCCCGCTGCTGCTCCGGCGGCTATCTGTAGAGGAGCCGGGGCTGGGGCTGGGCCTGGGGCTCGGCCCCGGCCGCTCCCCGCATTTGAGGCGCCCGTCGCGCGCCGGCCCGCGGCTGCTGAGTCCCGACGCGGACGACGCGCCCGCCGCGCCGCCGCCGGCCGCCGTGCCCCTGGAGCCGGCCGAGCACGAGTGGCTGGTGCGCGTGGCCGGCGGCCGCTGGTCCCACCAGCTGCACGGGCTGCTGCTGCGCGACAGCGGCCTGGCGGCCAAGCGCGACTTCATCTCCGGCTTCACCGCCCTGCACTGGGCCGCCAAGAGCGGCGACCGCGAGATGGCGCTGCAGCTGGTGGAGGTGGCGCGGCGCGGCGGCGCGCGCGTGGACGTGAACGCGCGCTCCCACGGCGGCTACACGCCGCTGCACCTGGCGGCGCAGCACGGCCACGAGGAGGCGGCCGTGCTGCTGGTGAAGCACCTGGGCGCGCAGGTGCGCGTGCGCGACCACAGCGGCCGCCGAGCCTACCAGTACCTGCCGCCCGGCGCCTCGTACGCGCTGCGCCTCCTCCTCGGCGACCCCGGCCTGCGCAGCCCCGAGGCCGAGGCCACCGGCGGGGCCAGCGGCAGCTTTGCGGCCCGGCGCCCGGTCCAGGTGGCCGCCACCATCCTCAGTTCCACCACCAGCGCGTTTCTAGGCGTCCTCACCGAGGACCCCATGTTCCAGGAACTGACCCGCGGCTTGAAGAAATCCAGTTCCTTCAGCAAGTTATTGGGTGCCTCCCCGCTGGTTCCTCGTAAAAAGACCAAGACCCGCGGGGTCCTGCCAGCCTTTGGCGAAATCCCCCGCCGATCTACTACTGCCGGGCCTTTCTCCGGTCTGGTGCCTACTCTGCCACCCACAACCTGACGGGCCCTGAGCCTCCTGGCTGCTCCCTGAAGTCTAAGGTTGTGCAAGTGAATTGCCCGAATCTGGGCCTCCAGCCCGTTTCCCGCCTTGCGCACCGCCACGTGTGGGCCCCTGTGATGGGCCAAGGCCTTTTGCTGGAAGCTCCAGCTGTCTCCAGACAAGGAATGCAACATCCCAGTGAGTGCCTCTGGGGAAGAGCTGCTGGAGGCACGCCTGGACTTTGGGGATTGGGGGGACTTGAAGTTTAGGGTCAAAGGTGGAAGGGGCAGCAGCTGGTCTGGGCCCTCACCTCATGCCTCTGAGCCCATCCACTCCCAAGCCAGATGTAGAGTCTGAGATGTTGGCCGTTTTCAGTTCTAAAGAGATAAGTGGTTTTGTAACTTGGTACTTTTATCCTGTTTATAAATTGAAGTGAGGTAGAATAAGTTTCATAATAATAACCTTTTGAAATGGTATTTTTCCATGTTTAAGCAAAGTGCTCCGGCATTTGCAGTATTTTGCTATTTTGGAATTCTCTTTAAAATAATGATACAAACAAAGGTTATTCTTGACCAACAAAATCTTTAAACACTTATCTACCTCCTTTTAGGCAATGCAGATTCCTGAGTCTTGAACACAGATGAGCATTATGACCATTGTGAATGTAATTCATTTCAGTTATACTGTGAATGCGAAATACTGGGACAAGTGCATCTTGGGAGTAAATGTGACATAACAGAGGAAAAAGACTTGGAAAATACTTTTAATCTTGTGGTTGCCTTGATGGGGAAATATAAACATTTCTTTGCCACTTGTGGGTAGCTATTTTGATGTTGTGAATAATTTTTCAAGTCTGATTTAACTGTGAATTGCACTTTTGTGCTGTATTTCTGAACCTGTAGTTTTTCAAATCTGGCAGAACATTTTAGACAGTAGGTGAATATTCAGGGTTTGGAGCAATAGGACAGTAGGTAGAGTGTTTGCATTGCCAGTGGCCAACCTGGTTCTATCCCCAGCAGCCTGATCCCTGAGCACAGAACCAGGAGTGATCCCTTAACACTGCTGGGTCTGACCCAAAAGCAAACAAACAAATCTTTTTTTAAAAAAAGTAGGTGAATATTCAAAAGAAAAAAATGTCATAGTTGCACATCTGGAGGGTGGGGGAGAAACAAACCTGGTTTAATAGCGATGGACACAGTAAAGGAGCAACAATTTTACATCAATTTTCTCAAAAAAAATTGTGATGATCTATCTTAAAGAATCAGCTGAAAACAGCTTATTCTATGGTAGCAAATGCAGAATCTGCTCAGTGACCTTGCAGAGGTAGCTTCACCCTTCTGGACCATGTTCCTATCTGTAATCAAGAAGGTTTGTAAGATAGTGCCAAGATTTCCGAGGTTCAACACAGCATAATTTTCATGATTTCTTCTCTCTTTTAAAGATGTGGAATCTATTTGTCCAATTTTTTTGGAATTTCAAATTGACAGTGTTTTGCTTTTGCAAATTGTGTCTTGCATGTCATTAGATATATATCAGTGAGGTCTCTGAAATTCTTAAGCCTGTCTTTCATGGAATGTTTTGATATAAGCAAGGAAATAAAGCCTCCCATTTTATTCTTGCTTGTGTGATGATCTAATTCCCTTAATCATTCTATAGCTCAGGGCTGGAGAACAGTACAGTTGTTAGGGAGGGACGTGCTTGTCTTACAAGCAGCTGACCTGGGTCCAGTACCACACATAGTCCTCTGAACACTGCCAGGAGTTACTCCTAAGCACAGAGCCAGGAGTAAGCTCTAAGCACTGGGTGTGTATCCTCCTCCCCAATTTTTTTCTATAGCTCAAAGGATTGAAGTGCAAGCTTTGCATGCTGGAGTCCCAAAACAATCCCTGGCACTGCACGATCCTCTTAATACCATCAGGAACAACCCCAGGGAGAAGGTACCCCTCCCAGTATACTGCCAAAACAAAGAAAGCATTCTACAGCTCTTGCTACTATAATCTTCCTCCCTGCCCCCTCCCACTACTTATTTATTTCTTCATCCTTTTACCTTTTTGTTTATTTGTGTTGTTTCTGGGGTCCCATCTGGCTGCTCTCAAAGTCTATCCCTAGGGCCAGAGATCAAATCTGGGCTTCCTGTATGCAGTGTGCTTCAGCCTTCTGAGCTATTTCTCACACCCATCCTTTCGCCTCTTTCAAATATTATATTATTGGAATAATTTGGATTGCTCTGCAAAACAGAGAATCAATCACAACTCAGACATGGTAGCCAGAAACTGTATGTAGATGTGTACTCTCACATGACCCTTTGTACCTTCCCTGCCTGGAACATTAGCAAAGCAGCATACATTGTTTTAAGATGCAAATTAAATCTGCCTCTGCAGAAAAATTGTGGGAGGAAAAAATTAATCATAGCAATAAAAAAATTAATCATAGCAATAAAAAATTAATCATAGCAGTATGAGTAACTGAAGGTCCAGAAGACAGTGAAATATTACCATATTGGAAATATGGTAAAAGGCTTGACTGGGGCTAGAGGTGTAGGGCAGGGTGCTTGCCGCGCACATGGTCAAACCTGGGTTTTTATCCCTGGCACCCCATAGGGTCCGCTGAGCACTGCCAGGAGTTATCCCTCACTGCAGAACCAGGAACAAGGAGCACAGGCGGGCGTGGCAAAGGAAAAAAAGGAAAAAGAAAAAGACTTGACTAACATGGGAACAAAGGTTAAGAACAGAATGAGCTGCAGCCTCAGGAAAGACAAAATTTAAACAAGCAATAACTAAGGTTTATTGCATAATCAGAGGGAGGGTATATGAAGTGCCAGAGATTTTTGTATTCCAGAAGGGTGTGCTGCAGGCCTTCCAATTGAAGGGTGGACATTTGACAAGGGTCCAGGATTCAGTAGCCTAAAACTCAGTAGTTAGAGAATCCACTGTAGCATATACAAAGGCTATATGCTTTGTAAGCAGGAGGCCCAGATTCAATCCCCAGAATCACATCACCCTCTGGACACTGCAAGGAGTGACCCCTAGCATTATCTGGTATGGCTAGAAAAATATTAAAAAAGAAGAAACCACTGTTTTTTTCTTCAATCCAAAGAAAGCCCTCTGAAACTCTGAAGTCAGTAGGGGAAATAGTTTGAAATGTGTATGGAAAGTTGCAGGGTATGGTCAAAATCAAACCAGAAAAATCTGAGTCCACCTAGGCAGCATTCTCAGTTTTTCCTTTTTTTGTTAGAAATTACTGAACCTTTATTTTTTTTAATCACTTAATCACTTAAGTGATTAAGTGATTAAGTGATTAAAATCACTATTTTTTTTAAATTTTTAAAATTTTTTTTTGCTTTTTGGGTCACACCCGGCGATGCACAGGGGTTACTCCTGGCTCTGTACTCAGGAATTACCCCTGGAGGTGCTCAGGGGACCATATGGAATGCTGAAAATTGAACCCGGGTCTGCCGCGTGCAGAAATTACTGGACCTTTAAAAATGGTTTCATGGACTGGAGTGATCATACAAAGGGTAGGGCGTTTGCCTTGCACATGGCTGATACAGGTTGGGTACCAGCCCTTGATAGGGTCCCCCAATCCCCGCCACTTGTGATCCCTGAGCGCAGAGCCAGAAGTAAGCCAGGTGTGGCTCCAAAACAAAACAATAAAAATTAGAATGGTTTCATAATTCTCTTGCTCAGCAGATAGCTTTTGGTCTTGGATCAAAAGGCCTCACCTTTACATAACTGCCAACACCTGAGCCTGAATCAGGGCGGCCGAAGGAGAGGTGGCCACAGGGGTGAGAAGGATCCACAGGGAGAGGAGGATCCAGATCTAGCGTGCAGAAAGCTACACAAGGAAATAATAAATGAGGCCTTCCTACTGGGAAGCTGGTGACCGGCAGCAATGCCTCCCGCCCCTCCCCGCCCAAGTCGCTCCCTTGCCTAGCTCCCCTTTTGCCCAGTTTGAGCTGATGTCAACCACTTCTGACCTACATTTCCACCCGGGCGCCTGAATTACACGTGAACCAGCAGCACCGGGAGGCGCCCCGGGGTTCCAACGCGCAAAGCAGGACGCGATGTCCCAGGCAGGCTGGTTGAGGACAGATGCCGCTTCTCCACACCCTTTCCACTTGGGTCTGAAAGCGAAACGCACACGAATCCAATTCATTGCAAGGGAGCTGCGGGGGCTCTAGGAGGCCAGCGGGGGAGGCGGTAGGGCTGCTTGTTGCCCAGCAACGGCCTGAGCAAAGTCCGCGCAGCGCCGGGTGTCCCTGCTGGTGCGTACTGCAGGAGGTGAGGGAAGGAAGCGCCAACGAGATTCCTGGAACTCTCCACCGGGGGTAGGGGGGAAACCAAGACTTTTTTGTTTTGGAGCCACACTCGGCGATGCTCAGATGTTACTCCTCACTCTACACTCAGGAATCACTCCCGGCAGTGCTCAGAGGACCATATGGGATACTGGGGATCGAACCCAGGTTCGATCAAGCTCCCTCCCTGCTGAGCTACCGCCCCTAACAACACTGTTTGATGCTAGTGCTTGAGATGAACACCTCTGGCATCCTTCGTCCAGATGTTTCTCACTACCAACGACTTTCCTGCCGCGGACAAAGGGGAAACTGCCTGCCTTTCCACGGCCGACCGGATAGGCTTGCTTTCGGACCAAATCCAAAGACTCCGGCCCAGCGGGGATCCTGCCCAGCCGCGCAAGGGGAAGTCCTTGGGGCTAGCACGGACGGCCCTCGAGTGGCAGAGACTGCGGCGGTCAGTGTAGGCACAGATGTTCAGCACAAGAAGAACAGCGCTCCCTTCTGGCAGCATCCTGAAGAGTGGCAGCCCAGGGGTTCCCGGTCCCCCTGGAGGCCATCGGTGATATGACACCCAACACCTCATTCAGGCTCCCTGAATGCCGCGGAGATGAACTGGGGCTGGAAGGACACAGAGGGCAGATGGAAGGGCAGGCAAAGGTTCTACCTTTAGAGGCTTTTCCCACCTGGTAAGAAAAATCACAGAAGACTCCCATTTCCCACGGAAATACCTAGAACTAAGGGTAGAGCGATAGCACAGCGGGTAGGGTGTTCGCCTTCCAAGCGGCCAACGTGGCCGACCCGAGTTCGATTCCTCTGCCCCTCTCGGAGAGCCCGGCAAGCTACCGAGAGTATTTGATATGCCAGACACAGTAACAACAAAGTCTCCAATGGAGACGTTACTGGGCCCGCTCGAGCAAATCGACGATCAACGGGAGGGCCTTTACCTTAAGGGGAAGATCAGAGTAATGGGACAATAGCCATGCTGAAGCCCGGCTGGCAGGGCTTTCTGGGAGACACACACTTCGTGGGGCCTAACAAGTTGCTGTGCTCCTAAGAGTGTCACAAAGGGCAGAAATAAGTGGACTTCACGCAGAAAGTGTCTGAACATGAGCTTCTCCAGGATGCTGGAGGCCCCCCACCCACAGTGTTCAAAGAAGAGAAGCAAAGCATAATGTTAGAACCCATGGGGTCCTAGCAGGAACCCATATGTTTCTTATAAAAAGGCACAATGTGAGCATTGTTCTGTGCTCAATAGCACGACTGTTATAACTAATGCTTGTGGTATGAAAAAGTCCATTTAAAATTCTCAGCCAGTTGTACTTAGTGACAATCAGCATCAGAAAACAAGCCCAGAAGCAGAAGTTTCTCACTTTGGGGTCAGCTGGCTTTAAACACACATACACAAGACTTGCAGTGTGCCTGGCTTCCAAAAATACACTGAATGTTTGCTTGAACAATGTTCTTGTCCCTGGTGTTTGCAGCTCCAAATAATGGAGCAGATTTTCACGTGTACAGTTGAGAATTTAGCATGCAGTGTACAAAGGACTGATGCAAAAATAGAACAAGAGTGTATGTCCTGTGTTTCATAACTCCCAGCCCACCCCCAGATTAAACTCTCAGCAAACTAAGCTGCCTCTCTAGGCCTTCAGCCCCCACACAGAAGTTTCAGGTACCTCATCAGCTCCCACCCCCAGCTGGCCTCTTCAGTTTTGGCTGACTCAGTGGGATTTCCAAAGGAGAGTTGGATAAACTCAGTTCGTAGCATAATTGGGTTGTTTAGGGAGTGGGGGCTGGGCCACACCAGCTGTGTGCATGGCTCCTTCTTTTCTAGGAAGTAGGCCACACCCAGCAATGCTCATGGGCTCATATGGGGTGCTGGGGATGGAACCTGGTTTGGCCAAGTAGCAAGGCAAGCACCCCACCCTCTGTACTATTTCTCTAGCCCCTCAGGGTTCCTCTTGACTCTGAACTCAGTAGTCACTCTTGGTGGTACCTGGGGAAACACAGACAGTGCCAGGAATCAAACCAGGACTGGTGGTATGCAAGGCAAGCACTTTACCCATGTCCAACTCTCCAGTCTAGTTTACTGAAGGAAGTTCAGAGTCTTGAAATGAACATGCTCAAGTGTCAAGTGTCCTGAACACTTGTTGTGGGTTTTAGAAGCAGAGCATCTGAATCCATTTCCAATTTAGGGAAATTTCTTAGCCTCTCCCCATATATATATATATATATATATATATATATATATATATTGCAGGGTGTGTGTGGGAGGTACCTGGTGTAGCTTGGGGCTGACTTCTGGCTCCACACTCAGGGATCACTCCTGGCCAGCTCTGGGGACCATATGTGGTGCCTGGGATCAAACCCGGTGGGTCACTTGCAAAGCCACTGCCCTCCCTGCTGTACTCCCTCTGCCCCACCCCACCCCCAGTCTTGTGGGGAGGCAGTACCCCCAAACTCCACTGCTAACATCAGAGGGTTGGATAAAGAGCAGCAGAGGACAACAGCTCTGGCCAGCCCCACCTTGGTGTGTGGACCCACCGGAGTGACGGTCAATAGCGGGCTCAGTGGGGATAGCAGCCCCTCTGTTTCAGCCTGAATCTGAATCTTCCCTTTAATTCTCAGGCCTGACCCAAGTTCTCTGACAAAACTTGGTCTTGACAGCTAAAGTTGCTATGTGGTTCATAAGATCCATCACCCACCCTGGGACACACACACTTCTCACATACATTTTTATTGAAAACAGATCAACAGAAAGTCTGTTCTGCACCTTAAATTGAAACTTTCCTTTGCCCTGACTTCTTCCAAACAGCCTCATGGTAGCTTGTGGTGATGCAGTTTATCGCATTCACCAATTAATGAACAAATAATTCTCAAGCCCTGGGTAAGGCCACTTTGGCACATTCAGAGGAGGTGTCCTGGGAATGGCCGGCGTAGGTCTTCCCCACGCCCAAGAGGGGGAAAGCACAGATAAAACCAGTGTCACCCCCAGTTCTTTGGGAGAGGAGTCCCATAGCCATCGCCCTAGCAGAGAGAAGGTGGGAGGGGTGATGCAGTGCCAGGACGGGGCCCGGGCGCCAGGGGGCTTTGGCCCAGGGCGCTCCTCACGGCGTCCAGCTGCTCCTGAAGGAGCCGCGCCCACTCGTCCAGGCCTCGCTGCTGGGCCAGGACCGCGGCCTTGCCAGCCAGCAGGGCGCGGTAGGAGCGCAGTTCCTGTGCAGGCAGCGCGCGCGCCAGCACCTCATGCAGTGTCTGCTCTCGCCGTGCCACGTGCTCCCGCAGCTCCCGCGCGTCCTCCTGCTGCCGCTGCAGGAGCCCGAGCCGCTGCCGCAGAGAGGCCTGGGGGGGTCGGATGGGGGGAGGGGAGAACGCCTTGAGGGCGGGGTCTCGCTCCCCGCGGCGGTCCACTCTGACCGACTGGCTTACCGGCTTACCAGCTCTTCGACGTCGCCATCCGCGCCTAGGCGGGCCAGCGCACGGTGCACGCGGCTCAGGCGACTGCCCAGCAGCAGCAGCAGGCCCAGCACGCGCTCCAGGTCGCTCAGGAAGCGGCGGAAGCGCTCGAGCTCGCGGGGTGCACAGGCCTGGCCTATGGCGTCCTCCAGCGCAGCCCTGCGCCTGGCCCACGCCTGCGCCGCCCTCTGCAGCTGCTCGCGCTCGGCCTCCAGGTCTCCCAGCATCTTTTGGAGGAGCTCGGCCAGTTCCACCTGCAGGAGACGTCGGTCGAGACTAGGCCCCACTTCTTAGCCCAGAACCTACCCCGCCTGCACAGACCCCTCCACACTCACTTTCTTGGCCTGGATGAGGTGTTTGGGCTCAGGGAAACCCTGGCCACAGGACTGGTCAGGCACAGGCTGGGTGGTTAGACTTACTGGCCTTGTCTCCTCCTGAGAAGTTGACAGGAGCGAGGTGGAGCTAAATAGATAGGACCTGGGGACAAAGCCAGAGCTCTCTGCGCTGTCCTGCCCCAGATTGCAGGCACCTCAACTTGAGTCCCTGGTGCCCCCTCACGCAGCCCTGGTGCTCACTCACCCTGCCTCCGAAGCAGTAGGCCCCTCTCCAGCCTCCCCGCTGGATGGCCGCATTGCAGCCCAGACTTCAGCTATGGGAACAAGTCCATGAAGCACGGTCAGGGGTATAGCAGGTGGGCTGGGCAGGGAGTCCAGAGTGTCGCTAAGGGAGGGGTCCAGTCTTGCCAGCTCCTGAATAAGCTCCTCCAGGCGGGCACCGGAACCTGGCTGAGCCATGCCCCAACCTGGGGCAATGTGATCATGTAGTCCTGGAGCACCACTGCCCTGAGTCCCCAGTGCATCATCTGGGCTATCTTTGAGGGGGTCACACTCTACAGCCTTGGGGAAGCCAGTGGCCAGCGGGCCGATGTGGTCAGTGGGAGGGCTGTCACCATTCACCATTACAGAGGGGCTACGACATGCAGGTCTGGCAGCCCCAGGACTGCTCAACTCCAGCCTGCAGTCACATGCCACTGAGGTTTCCAGGCACTTAGGGAGGGAACGCTCTGGGGACACTGGAGCCTGGTCATCTCTTTGGTCCAAGGCAACTCCAAGCAGCTGGTCAGAGGCACGGATACTGGAAGTGCAAGAGACACAATCAGAAAGGCTCTGGCGGGCCCTTTCTGCCCACTCCAGATGAAACCCAGGTGGCCATGAGCTTCCAGAAGACAAACCCAGGTATGCGGGCTCAGGGATTAAGACTCCAGGTCACACACTCCTTCCCTTCTCCCCACCTGCTTGGGTCCTGGCTATCATGCTCCTAAACTGCTGCAGGGTACCATCTCAGCACATCAACGGCCTTAATCCAGAGACTCCCAAATGAATCTCAAAATGGATTATCTCTCTACAGAGATGTCTCTGATCCCAACCATTTACAATTTTAGAATTCCAGAAGTGTGTGGCCACTTTAGTGGGAGCGTGAACGCTCATGATATTCATAATAAGCAATAGAAAATAAATTATCTAGCATCTGCCCCAGCAAGCAGGCTTGAATGGTGTTGGGAAAATTCAAAATAATGGTGGTGGGAAGGTGTAATGGGGAAACAATCTTATGAAAATAACATAGCACTGTAGCACTGTCCTCCTGTTGTTCATCAATTTGCTTGAGCGGGCACCAGTAACGTCTCCATTGTGAGACTTGTTGTTACTGTTTTTGGCATATTGAATACGTCATGGGTAGCTTGCCAGGCTTTGCCATAAGGGTGGGATACTTTTGGTAGCTTGCTGGGCTCTCCGAGAGGGGCGGAGGAATCGAACCTGGGTCGGCTGCGTGCAAGGCAAATGCCCTACCCGCTATGCTACCACTCCAGCTCATGAAAATACACTGTCACTGTCACTGTCCTCCCGTTGTTCATTGATTTGCTTGAGCGGGCCCAGTAACATTGTGAGACTTGTTACTGTGTTTGGCATATCAAATATGTTTCAGGTAGCTTGCCAGGCTTTGCTATGCAGGTGAGATACTCTCCGTAGCTTGCCCGGCTCTCCAAGAGGGGCGGAGGAATTGAAAGCAGAGGAATCAAACTCAGGTAGGCCGACCGGCCACATACAAAGCAAACGCTCTACCCGCTGTGCTATTGTTCCAGCCCATGAAAATAACATAAAATATAAATTTAAATGTAAATTAAAAAAAAGAAATGGCTCTGGCTGGAGACAAATGCTGGCTGACATGGGCCACTGGTTACTGCCCTAGGACCCCAGGCTCTGGCTAGAAGAAGGTTCTCTGCCCCCATACAATCCAATATGGACATGATAAATGCTCCATTTGGAAGAGGCACATATGGAATAAGGGTGTCATGTTCTGCTGGGAAACAGGAGGGGTTCAACCTGGCAGGGAGCCTCAGCTGGGCATGGGAGTCTGCAGGCGATCTTATTCTAACCAATGATTGGGGGGGAAGTCCAGGAAAATTTTATCAAGGGGAAGGGAGAGAAACTGGGCAGACCCTCTGCAGGACATCCCACTGCAGCCTCCTTCTGAGCCTGGGACCTGGATGGGGAGGGGCTGGAGGAGGCCCACAGGACTCCTGTGACGAGGATGGAAGCACCAGAATAAGTTGGTGCGGTGCAGCACTAGAGAGGCAGCAGATGCTGGCAAGGAGCCAGCGTGGTTTGCAAACGTCAGGAGCTCAGGCTGAGGGGAGATGCTATCAGTGAGTGCTTTCCTACTTTCCCCACCTTCCATCTCAGACTGGTCCATTCCCCACCTTCCATGTCAGACTGATCTGTTCCCCACCTTCTGTCTCAGGCTGGTCCAGGCCTCTCACCTGGAAAGTTTGGCATGAAATACTGGTCTGGAAGGTTCTGCTCCTTGTGGAGTAGCCTGAAAAGGCAAACAATAGGATAAATGGGACTTAAGGTCTCACACGTGCCCCTCCCATCACCCCTGCAGCCCCTGTCCTCCACACCTGGACAGAGGGCATCACTTCGCAGGAAGCGCTCCGAGGGCCACTGGAAGACCTGTAGGCATGGGCGGGCTTCAGAGAGCCGGGTTCTGGAGCCTCGGGGCGTCGGGGGTCCTCTGGCGGCTCCCTGATCCCGTGACCTCCAAGCTTTGCTAGCACCCGCGGCTGCAATAGTTGGGGTTTGGGCCTGGCGAGCATCCTCGGGTCGCCCGGCGGGACTCGACCCGGTTCCCCCGGCTGCAACTCGGGCTCTGGCTGGGGGTCGGAGAAGCGCCATTTCCTCGGCAGGTTGGTCTGGCGCCCCGAGCCAGTGAGCCCCGGGGTGAGTGTCCCGCGTGGCGGCTCCACGTCCTCGCCTGGGTGGCTGAGCGCAGTGCGCGGGCGGGCAGGCAGGCTCATGCGGAGCTCCTTGCGCTGGAAGGACGTGGCCCGCAGCACCCGTCTCTGTGCACCCTGAAGCCGCAGGCGGTATGCGGCCCGCGCAGCGGGGGGACTGGGGGGCTCGGGGAGACTGGGGGGCTCAGCCGCCCGCGCCGCTGCCGCCGCCGCCGCCTCGGCCGCCAGTGCGAACAGCAGTGGGGTGGCCTGTCTGCTCAGAGACCCTGGGGCCCCGGGCCCCTGGGGTGGGGACTCCTTGTGGTCCCAGGCGAGGCCGGGGAGGGGGTGGGAGCCCGGCAACGGCAGGAGAGGCTCGGGCCCACCGGGGTCCGCCGAGAAGGAGCTGTAGGCCGAGTCGGCGCGCGTGGACAGCCGCCGCACGTCCAGGCCGCGGGGGCACGAGGACGGAGAGGTGCGGGGGCTCCCGGGGTCCAGGCCCTCCATGGCGGCACTCAGGAGTGTCCAGGCTGGCGAGCTTCGTGGGGCCTGGAAGAGACGAGAGCACGTGATAATGGGTGAGGGGCCCAGCTCGTGTGCGGCCTTGGTTTTGATCCCCAACACCGCATGCCCCATTTCTCAGACCCCACCACATGATCCCCCCCTTACCCCCTGTCGTATTCCCCCTCCCCACAGCATCCACCGGAGTACCCCCTGGTGGACCCCAGCACTGCCAGGTTTGGCTTACACAAGGACAAACAGCAGCAAAATAACAAGAAATAATAATAAACATATTCCTGATTGAAAAAGGGTAAAGACTAGGCCAACTTCCTCCACCCTCCAGGGCACTGAGCTCATAGTCCCTCCCTGGTCACATGGTCCCCAGGTGGGGATGGCCATAGAGCGAGTGGCCTTGAGGGTTGAGAGTTTGTTGAGGGGAAGGAACTGGCCACGAGCCCACTCCCCGCTGGGATACTCCTGGACTGCAGCCCAGGTACCCCCTCAACCGTGGGGTGCTGAGAATGTACCCACACTCCTAGCCCAGTCCCACCCAGGCCGTTTCCTGGCAGCTTTGTTAGCTTCTCTGTGTGATCTTTTTCTGATATAAACAATGGTCTAAAAGTTCTGTGATCACTGAGGAGCCATGGCAGGAGCAGGCAGACCCAGGTCAGATGGCAGGGGCTGCTTCCCAGCCTCCCTGTTCACTCTGTGCCCATTGGTTAGGGGTCAGCGTGCTGTGTGCAAATATTTCTCTTGAGTCCTGCCACAGCTGTGTTCCGCAGATGGGGACTTGTGGTCCTGAGTTTGGGGGAAGTGGGAATGAAGGGTTCAGGGGCACACAGCTGGTAAGAGACAGAGTCCAGACTGGAATCTGGGCCCACCTCCAAGCTGACTGCAGTCAGAATCAATTTCCTGGAAGCCCAGTGTGCTGAAAGCAAGTTTACTCCTGTCCCCTAACTGCATCCAACATAGACCCAACTCCCTCCACTCTGGGGCAGTCACCCCCCCTCCCCATACACCTCAATAATAATTATTATTATTATTTATTATTATACCCAGAATAATGGGTCTCTGCTTGAGAGACTGCTTTTTGCCTCAAAATGACAGGCTTATGCCCCTCTTTGTCCTGCTGCTTTGCTTCTTCTATAGGGTTTGGTTTAGAGGTCTTCTGACCTTTGGGTCTCCCTATAGTGCCCCAAGCTTCCCCCATCCTGCATTGGAATTATGATTTTTCCCATTCCTGGGAACAGCTGTGCACTGACTCCTGTCACCCTCAGTGCTGGCCACCCAGCGAGTTAGAGAAACTGAATTTGCAGAGAGTAGATGTTAGGTGGTCTTGGGGTAGCAGAAAGAGGCCCCCTTTGGTTTTGCTCACTCTTCTCCCCTCCCTTTGCATCTTTCTGGGGAAAGGGACAGAATGGAGGCAGCAGCTGCCTCTAGGACAAGCCAGGCACTCATAAGGGATTAGAAGCAGCTTGGAGGGCCGGAGCAATAGTATAGCCAGTAAGACGCTTGCCTTGCCTGCGGCTGACTTGGGTTCAATCCCCAGCATCCCATATGGCTCCCTGAGCCCGCCAGGAGTGATCCCTGAGCACAGATCTCAGAGTAGACCCTGAGCACTGCAAGATGTGTACCCCCCCCCCACACACACACACGAATAGCAGCAGCTTGGAGGAGGAGTGGCCATGCATGAAGACCTCCCCCACAGGCTGGGAAGACGGAGCAGGGAGGACACAGTGGGAATGCCCAGATCATGGAGGAGAGAACTTTGGTCCTGGGAGCCTGGAGCTGCCTGCAGGCTCGGGCCACAATGACAGGATGGGGTCTGCCCTCCCTGAACTGCTTTTGGGAGGGTGTGTCTGAGCCATCTGGGTATTCTTTGGAATTCTGGATCACCCCTGCTGATGTCACCGGCTTTCCTGAGACCTAAGATGCTACAGAGTCAGGACCAGGAGGGAGACTTGTGCTATGAGATACTGTGGTCTTTCCTGAAAGGGAGGAGTGGGGGCTGCAGCATTTCTAGGAGAGGCCCTTCAGACAACTGGGTTGCTGTTTATTTGCTTTCCAGCACCAGGGCTTGAACCCAACTCGCAGAGCATGCACTTTGCCACTGAGCCACCTGCATGGCCCCAGATGACAGTTTTATGACCAGTGAGCCCAGCACTGCAGACTGGTCCCGACAGCTTGGGGGTTTATTTCACCAAGTGTTCCTGCCACTCTGGACTTCAGAAAAAGAAGAGCCTACTCTAAGTAGCAGCCGGGTGGAGAGTCCCCTCCTCTAGAGGTGCTCCCTTGTACCCAGCTACCTGCTTCTCTTCTTCTTTCTTTCTTTGGTTTTGGGGCCAGTGGTGCTCAGGGCTCTGTGTTCAGGGATCACTTCTGACAGTGCTCAGGAGACCATATGGGGTGCCAATGATCAAATCTGGGTCAGCCGATGCAAGGCAAGTGCCACAATCCCTGTACGATCTCTCTGGCCCTCTTTTCTGTCCTGTAGATAACTTGGCAGTGTTTATCCTGGCCCATGAAACTCATTTGATCCATGCTTGCCCTGTGGGCACAGGTGCCATGCTTGCTGCATGTGTGGGCACAGGTGCTATTCCAATACAAAGCTGCTCCACCAGGAAGGGCCTCCTTAGCTTGTTTGTGAGTTGGTATGTTGGAATTCACCGAATAAAAAATAGTTTAAGGGCCAGAGAGAATGCTCAATGAACTGGAGCACATGCTTTGCCTGCAGGAGGCCCTGGTTCCATCCCTGGCACTGTATGGTCGCACACACGGTGGGGAGTGATCCTCAAGCACAGAGTTGGGAGTAGCCCTTAAGCACCACCAGGTGTAACCCCCAAACCACAAAAAAATAAAAACAAGAACCAATTTGAACAGACAATACAAATGCATGTCCGTGTCTGCTTCCTTCCAGTCACCACCTTGTCTGAAAGGGTGTGAACTCCTGCAGGGCCCTCTGGGGGAGCTGTTATGTATGAATTGGGGGCTGAGCACAAAGAACTAAGCTAGTTGGTTGCAAGGAATCAGTAGCAGCCCAACCAGCCCGTCCCCCGCCCCAGGAAAGGGGGAGGTGTGGTCACACCACAGGTGTCCTAGCATCAGCATAAGGGCTATTGGTGCCCTGGGACAATGAGATAGTCCCCATCTCAAGACAGGAGACTCAAGAGTTCTGTAGGCATTTTGCCAGGCTTTGCCAGAGGTGTGTGTGTTTGTTGGTGGGGCGGGGAGGACAGTGAGGAGTCCCTTCCTGCAAAGAAGTTGCAGCATTTCCCATATACTTGTTGCTCGACTAAAACAGCAAAAAGGGGAAGAAAAGGTAAGAGGTGCCTCCCGCCAGGGATCTGGGAGGTGGAGGCACGGACTCCAGAAGGCCCAGGGCTCACAGCCGGGTTGGCAAGTCTGTCCAGAGGCTGAGATACTGGGATGTGGGTCTGCATCTGGCAGAGAGCTCGGACCTTGGCAGGGAGAGAAGATGGCACCTGCGGGTGGATTAAACTACCGCAGAGAAGCAATTGGCTGCAGCAAGGCCTCGGCACAGCGTGTTGTACGGCGAGGGAAGCGGGGGTGCCTGTCTCCAGCCTGCCAGACCGCACCGAGGCTGCCTATCTGAATGAGTTTCTGGGTGCCAGCCCGTGTCTGGACTATCTTGAATACCGCCCCCAAAACGAGGTCTGCGGGGCGGGTGGCTCCTGGCTCTCCCCTTCCCCATTCGGCCGCCCCCACCCTCCACGCGCTCCAGCCTCGACGTGGCTTCTCTTCTGGAGGCTCTAGCCCCCAGGTGGGCGGCACCCGGGGAAGCAGAGGCCACGGCCGGACGGGGGCCACGTACCTGAGGCTCCAAGCGCAGAGGCGAGGTGCGGGACAGAGCGGCAGGGGGCGGCAGAGACCCGCCGAGGCCCAGAAGAGCGCGGTCCGGGACCCCGCGCGGGCGGAAGGCGCGAGCGCGCGGGCCTCGATCCTTCCCGCTGCGTCCAACCCCAACGACGGGGACTTTCGGACGCGTGCGGGGCGGGGCGGCGGCCCTGGGGAGGGAGAGCGGGAGGAAGCCGGACTCGCCAGCGGGAGTCAGGGAGCGAGACCCGTCTGCGTGCTCTGGCCCCACGGAACGTCCCCCCACCCCAGCGTCCGCTGCTCCGTGGGCCTCCCGGCACCTCCAAGAGGACACGCATGCAGGGGGCCCACTGTACTCCCACCCCAGACCGGGCACAGAGACGGGGCACTTCCAGACCGCACCACGGGCGGCCCCGCAGCCCCCTACCCCCACCGCGCTTCCTCCTCCCCCCCGCAGCGACCCCCCATCCCCCCCGCCTGGCGGGCCCTAATCTCCCCCGCCCGCCACCTACCTGCGCTCGGGCCTCAGAGGCGCTCCCGGGCGCTGGCGGCGGCCGCGCAGTGACATCAGAGCCCCCGGGCTGCAGCTCCGACCCCACCTCCAGGCTCCGGCCGCCACAGGGTTGGCGCCACGTCCGGCCCGGGGGCGGGAGCATCGAGCTGTGTCCACTCTCCGGCGGGCCGGGGCGCAGGGGATGCTCAGCCCGGCCCCCCTCCATCCCGCCTGCCGCGCTCTCGGCGGAGAAGCGGGAGCATCGGGGAAGAAAAAGTGACCACTCGCTCTCAGCGCTCGGTGGGCTCTCCCGCGGCCCCGGGGCAGGTCAAGTGGACACCCTCGGTGGAGAGACCCGGAGCTGATTTGCTCTGTTGGAGAAAAACTGGAACCCAGAACCCCAAAGGCACCGGACGGCCGCCCCCTTTTCTCTAAAACTTGGCCAACAAAGCAGTCCCTCGGAGGTTAGTTCAGATGGCGCCGCACCGCGGGACCCATCCTCTCTCTAGACCCCGTTTCCAAGACTCCTGCCTTTGACTTCCAATCCCCCTTCTGGGTTTTGCATCCCCTTTCTCCATTTCTTCCGCTCCGGCAGATCTGAGTCCCTCGGACCTGAGTTCAAAGGTCCACGGGTGCCGCACAAACTCAGCCCCCACGTCCGTGTGGGGTTAGCAGGAGGCAGGGGTGGGGCTCTTAGGATGCCCGCCTTGCTCCCTCCAGGCTTCAGGAGTATTCCTTCTTCATCTCTCCCGGCTGCTAGGTCCTCCACCTCCGCGGCCTGCACTTGCCAAACCTTTAATCTGGGAATCGAACTCGCAGCGCCCTGGAAGAGCTAAGTTAGCCCCTTGGGCTCACAGATCCGTCTTACTCACCCGTCAATGGCAGCACATATGTCCCATCTTGGTTTCTTGAGCTGATATGATTTGTTGGATAAAAACTGGAACCTACTAGAATACTACTTTCTGGGCCTGAGTGATAATACAGCAGGTAGGGCATTTGCCTTGCACTGGGCCAACTCCGGTTTGAAACCTGGCATCCCATACGGTTCCATGACCATGGCCAGGAGTAATTCCTGAGTGTAGAACGAGAAGTAACCCCTGAGCATCGCCTGGTGTGTCTCCCCCCTCGCCCCCCCAAAAAGCCTGAGTCTGTCTGAGTCTGTCCTCCCGTTGTTCATCGATTTGCTCAAGCGGGCCCAGTAACGTCTCCATTGGAGACTTTGTTGTTACTGTGTCTGGCATATAGAATACGTCACGGGGAGCTTGCCAGGCTCTGCTGTGCGGCAAGATACTCTCGGTAGCTTGCCGGGCTCTCCGAGAGGGGTGGAGGAATCGAACTCGGGTCGGCCATGTTGGCTGCGTGCAAGGCAAACGCCCTACCACGGGCGATCTGACTGCGACATCTGTCACCCCATTGATCGCCAGGGTTGATTTGGCTTATCTGGCTGGCTAGGCGGGTGTCCCCTTCCTCCCTCACCGCTCCATGTGCGTCCCTCCCGAAGCTGCGCGCTCGGTCCAAGAGGACAGCCTTCCCCAAATAGAGACGGACTGGTCTTCGTTCGAGGGCATACGAGTAGCTGCGCTCCCCTGCTAGAACCTCCAAAAAAGCCAAAAATTTAAAAAAGAATACCAACTTTCTGGGGATCCTGAGGAGCACTGTCTGTCAAGTTTCTAGGGCAGGAGCCACTGGTACCTGCCTTGTGACCAATGCCTTTCTGGCTTCCTTTTATTTATTTTTTTAATACATCAAATCATTTTTTATTATAGAAGCAATCCAATCTTCTTCTACTAATTCTACATATCGTCTACATTTCTTCTAATATGGCATTATGGTTTTGTAATTGTCTTTCTTTTCACAGTGACAAAACCTGCACAGAGGTTACAGGTTCAGAGAACTTGCCTTTCTAGAAGAAACTGTCCCCTGTGAGTAACCTAGGAAGCTTGTCTTTTCTTTTTTCTTTTTTTCATAATTTTATTTATTTATTTTTCTTCTTATATTTATTTATTGAATCACTGCGGGAAAAGTTACTAAGATTTCAGGTTTGTCTCGGTCATACAATGATCAAACACCTTTCCCTTCACCAGTACTCATTTTTCACCACCAAGAACCCCAATATACCCCCCTCCCATCCCTCCCAATGCCTGTGAGGCAGATGATTTCTACTTAACTCTTTTCTACATTGATTATATTCATTATTTTGACAAAAGATGCACCATTATTACCATTATTGTTTAGAATTCCCCCCCCCCCCCAACAATCAGAATTGCTGAAAAGGCATTGTGAAATACTTTGTTTTCTATAGCTGGTTATGAGAATCATATAATGATTTTGGATTTCTGCAAAGAGCCAGATAAATACAAGATTGGTTTCTGTTCGTCAGGTGTTATGGCTGTGCCAGAGAGCCATTCATGGAGGGCAACTCATGACCTCAGTAGGGCGTGAAGGACGAGCTGGTACTGCCCCCCTTCCCATGAGACTGCAGTTGCCCCATCACTGCCAGCTCATACCTGGCTTTCCAATAAACTCTGAGGTGGCGGCAAAGCCGCTGGGTTTCGAGATTTGTTTCTGAGTCTCTGGGATCACGGTCACGGTCATGGTCCTCCCGTTGTTCATCGATTTGCTCAAGCGAGCCCAGTAACGACTCCATCGTGAGACTTGTTACTGTGTTTGGCATATCAAATACATCACGGGTAGCTTGCCAGGCTTTGCCATGTGGGCGAGATACTCTCAGTAGCTTGCCAGGCTCTCCAAGAGGGGCAGAGGAATCGAACTCGGGTCGGCCATGTTGGCTGCATGCAAGGCAAATGCCCTACCTGCTGTGCTATCGCTCCAGCCCGTCTCTGGGATCATGGCCGTTAATCAGCTTGATCAGAAGCCAGAGAGGCTGTTTGTAGGCAGCGACTCAGGGTCTCGTTGGAATGGGGAGGAAAGGGCTAGTTCCACCCCCATCTGGTGAGGCCCCATGTGTCTCGTCACTGCAGGCCCAAACCTGACTGTCCAGTGGCCTCTGGAGGATGGTGGTCACCGGGCCACCAGGGGGAACAGGTCAAGGCATGAAACCTATTGCCACCTGGAGTGGCCCAGCACCAGTAACCTACTGCAGGAACAGGACGCATTTCTGCCAAAAGCCTTTGGGTTCAGAGATTCGTTTCTGAGTCTCTGGGATCATGGCCGTTATGCAGTTCAACCAAGAACCAGAGAGGCCATGCCTCCAATTATATAGCTGAGCCAGAGGTGGTTTGTGGGTGTGTCTCCCACATACCTAACTTTTGGCCGTTTACTTTCTTGGTAAACTTTGCTCCAAGTTTTTGGGGTCTGGCCAAAAGCACAGCAGCAATTTTGGGGTATCTGAAAGTCTGACAGTGCCATCAGGCTGCTCTGGCTTCTTTTTAAAGCACATCCTTACCAGGGGTCAGTTTCAGCTGGAGAGGGCAGCCCAGCACCTCCTGGCTCTGAAACTCTGAACGCCCCATCCCTTCTGGAACCCAGGACCCCACATATGGGAAGCATGTGGAATACCTGCCCCTTTAAGACCTAATTCTCATGGCTGGTCTCAGAGTACAATCAAAGTGGAGGGAACACACCCAACAATGAAAAAGTCAATTTGAAAATGCTCAAGTTTTACTGTGATGTTGGAAATCTTTTATTCAAAAGCACATGGAAAGCATGAAGTGTGCACAGCAACCACAGAAATCCTTATTAACCCTCTCTACCCCTCTCCCCCCTAACTTATCCTCTTTTTTTTTTGGCTTTTTTTGGGGGTCACACTTGGCGATACTCAAGGGTTTCTCCTGGCTCTGCACCCAGGAATTACTCCTGGCAGTGCTCAGGGAACCATATGATCGAACCCAGGTCAGCTACATGCAAGCAAGCACCCTCCCCGCTATACTATCACTCCAGCCCCAAAGCCCTAACTTATCTTGCACACACCAAAGAAACTCTCTGCCTAGGTCTCCAGAAATTGAAATCACACCTAATCTCATCTCCCCTTTGTTCTTCTGAGAAAAAAAAAAAACAGTTGCTGACATCTGGCCCTATCAACTAGCCCTCAGTGTTCTTAGGAGCATAGCGGAGCTCTGCCCAGCAGTCATACCTGCCTCTGGTGTTCCCCTGATGGACACCGACAACCTCAGCGAGGGCAGGAGATGGCTCAGTGGAGACACAGGCCTCACATAGGTAAGACCCTGAGTTTGATCCCTGGCACTGCAAATCTAAAACAGATGAAAACAAATGGGGGTTGGGATGGCCCGGAGGGGCGACTCAATGGGACTGGAGTGTACACTTGTGTGTAGGAGACTTGGGTTCAACTCCTAGCACAGTCTTGAACTGGGAAGAGCCCAATGAAGAAAGAAAGAAGGAAGAAAAGGAAGGAAGGAAGGAAGGAAGGAAGGAAGGAAGGAAGGAAGGAAGGAAGGAAGGAAGGAAGCTAAAGTTTCCTTTCAGATCAGCTCTTCCTGGTAGAAAAACTGGAACTTCACTTTCCTATTTTGTACGTCACCTTTTCCCTACATATGCTAGGTGGCTCTCCCAAGTCTCTGTTTTGGCTGTATTGTCTCATTTTTTTTCTCCTCTAATCTTGCTTCACACCTGAGGACCATTCAATCTTCCTGGAGGATCTATTTGCTTATTTACTTTGCTTTTGAGTGCCAAACCCAATAATGCTCAGAGTACCAGGCAACACTAGAGACTGAACCCGGGCCTCCTGCATGCAAGGCACATGATCTAGCCTGATGAGCCACCTCTCTGGCCTCTATTGTTTATTTTTTTTAAAGGACTATATCTGGAGGCTGCCAGGTATAGTCACACAGAGCCCAGATCAAACTCAAGGCCTTGAGCATACAAAGCTATGTTCGATCCTTTTGAACTATCTCTGCAGTCCCTTTCCTTATACAGATGAAATAGGCTAAATGAGAGATGGTGGTGGGTCTCTGTCCCCTAACGGGGCAGCAGAATCAAGCCAGGGAAGGACGGGTGTGTGAGCTTTCCATTTTGCTCTCCTTTTCTTCTGGAGCCCAGATGGAAACTTCTTTAAGCTTCATTTTAGATCGACAGCATAGAAATTAATTCAGCTTCTGATC